AAGCTAGTACCACTACATGTTTTTAAAGCTCGGTTGGATGCTACAAAATCAGATGCTGTTGGTACCTGTACATGTGGTTAGATATGTAAATTGTAATCCCTGTACATGTTGCTGTATGATGTCCTTTTGTTGTTCTGTTGTTTATGTTTGTATGTCTTCTTGTGGAACCTACTGCTGCAGGTCTCCCTTGAAAAAGAGATCATTGATCTCAATGGGATTTTACCTGGATAAATAAAGGTTTTGAATTGAATTGAATCCGGCTGAACAAAACGTGCCTTTATCTAACAGGTACGTTTCCCACAGATCTTATTTTGAGCTATTTTCTAAAATCCTATGGAGATATCTCATCTCTTCAATCTCTTTTTTGTCGAGGGAAGCCATGCACAGCTTACTTCCGGGGTTTAGGACGCGTCACTGCATCTCTCTCGTCTCCTCTTCACACACCACACTTTTTGCGGCACACGTACTTACAGCCAATCAGCTCTGAATGATGTGAGATGACGTATGGTGGGGATGGCAGCTCACTGCCCCTATGGTCATTATTTTTTTGCCACACACATTAAATAGGACAATACTCTGAGCATGCGCAGTGTAGTTTTTACAGTCACCGTTCACTTAGACAGAGAGAGGGAGGGGCAGGATCGGGTTTTGTCCCACATGGCTCTAAACAGCTCAATAGGCACACACTGTAGACACTAATTAGAAGAACACAGACTAAAACAGCAATGTACAGACGAATCAGATGATTAAACATGATCTTAAAATATATTTTATATATTTTCAATTTATTTTTTGCATTTTGTTGTAATCATTATTTCTGCTGACACTAGTTGGGGCTGTGCCCCACCCTGCCCTAATGAGCAGTCGCACGGTGCTCCTCTTCCTACTTGGCGCACCGGTAACTTTCTCGAGCTTTCTAATTTAATGTATTGAAGGCAAAGCTATTTAACACACAGTGAGAACTGCTACTATTAATCTCTCAATATTGTTTGTAATAAACGTGGTAAAAAGTTATTCTTTCAGTGAGACAACAGAGCAAGCTTCTACAAGCTGCCACTACGTTTTGATAACAGTTAAATATTATTTTGATAATAAAATATATTTCAATGTTGATGAACTTCATACTGTTCATTCATAATCTGATTGGTCTTTGTAGCTCATTGTTGAAATAAAAAAAAAACATTACAATTACAAAATAATTATATCTACAGCCCCTAAACACACAAACACACCTCTTTCATAAATAACACACTTGTTCTGCAATAATATGTTTTATGTTTCCTGTCATTTTTGTTAGGAAAGGAACATGCCTGAAAGAACACGACATGTTCTCCTTCTCTGGGGTCAAGAAGAACATCCAAGAGGAACATTAAAAGCTGATGTTATGAGATTTTAAGACCAGTACAGGACATTCACTAAGAAACTACTTTTATTGTGAAAACAAAGATCTGCACACCGAATATTTTTGTAGTCTATCAGGACCATCATTGGTTTTGTGCTAAGAAGTGTGAGAAGTAGTAAATATAGATAAACATTAGCAAATACAAATCACACACTGATATTATTAAAGTAATCTTACTTAAAGAACTCATTATACCCTACTGTCCTACTAGGGCATTGCGTTCCAAGAATGCAGGGTTGTTGGTTGTTCCTAGAGTCTCTAAAAGTACAATGGGGAGCCAGAGCCTTTTCTTATCAAGCTTCCACATTTGTGGAATCAGCTTCCAGTTTGTGTTCGGGCGGGCAGACAACCCTATCCGTTTTTAAGAGTGCGCTTAAGACCTTCCTTTTGATAAAGCTTATAGTTAGGGCTGATTAGATCCAGCCCCTAGTTTTGCTGATATAGGCTTAGTTTGTCGGGGGACATCTTACTTCTTCCTTCTCTCTGTCTATACATGTGTACTCTCATGTTCCGATTAACCCAGCTTCCCCAAATGTCTTTCTTTTTGGTTTCTATATATGCCGGGATCCGGAGACATGGATGATCCTGCTGCTGCGGTCCTGAGTCCTGGATCGCGAGCCCTGGATCTTGAGTTGTGGCTGTGGTCCTGGATCATAGGTCCTGGATGGATATCCTTGTGGATTCATCTTCCTATTATACACACATGCATTTCCAAACATTTGGACTACCTATGTTGCAAATGTATTATCTTTTCAATTTACACACAGCATCTATTGCACATCTGTCCGTCCTGGGAGAGGGATCCCTCCTCTGTTGCTCTCCCTGAGGTTTCTCCCATGTTCCCTTTAAACTGTGGGTTTTCTCCGGAAGTTTTTCCTTGTACGATGTGAGGGTCTAAGGACAGAGGGTGTCGTATTGTTATACTGATATTCTGTACAAACTGTGAAGTCCACTGAGACAAATGTAACATTTGTGATATTGGGCTATATAAATAAACATTGATTGATTGATTGAAGTAAGTGAGAGAGTATAATTTGTTTCTATTAGACATATTCATTCATGTTTTTCATCGGAGCTGAAATAGCAGTGGGTGTGTGTGTGTGAAACAAAAATCAAGCAAAAGGGCTGGTGTACATTTCTGATTGTCTTATTATTATTGGATCAGAATACATTAAATACACTTTAACCTAAATAAAAGAATGATCAAATCTAGTGGAAAATATTGCAAATAGGCTTTCTCTTCACGCCCCTACTTCAAGCGCATGAGCCTGAACACAAAGGTTTATATGTTGTCCCCAAGTTTAATAAACAGAAAAACCTGCAAAATGTCAGAGTATAACATAAATAAAGCAAACAAGCAGCTGCATGTCAGGCCAGGGTACCATTTTATAAATCCCACCGGATTGTAGGCTATACTTGTCTAAATGTTTTCACTTTGGTCTACTTATACATGTAATATAACGTATAATGTATCTATAACAGAGCCAAGAACTCTGTATGACTTCTATTAAGGTTAAAGTGTATTTAACTTATTCTAATCCAATAATAATAAGACCAATCAGAAAATGGGACAGCAGCACTTTTGCTGACTTTTGTTTTTGCTGTCAAATGCATGCTTAGTTTAAAAAACAAAAAACCAGTACATCATTTTAAATAATCCTTTAGGGATTGTGTGTCTGTAATGCTTAGTTACATTCTGCAGTCATCATTTTGAAACACTGTTTAATATGATTCATAATTGTCTTTCTCTTGTTTTTCCTCTGTGATTAGGACAATTTGGAGAAATGGATCTGCTGGGGAAGGAGATATCATTGAAAAAGGGAGTTTAAAAACAAAATACAAGTATGTACATGGGATTCTAATTTGAAAAAGGCATGGCAAATCAGCAGAAAGCAAAACAGGGATCATCCTCCCAAACCTCTGCTCACTGCCGTCCGGCTTGAACAGATTCACCCTACAGACGTTTGAGTGTAGAAGCTGTACAGATCATCACTGCTGTCGCTCTAAGCCTTACATTCTTTGACTTCAAATGAACAAATCACATCCGTGTGCCATATAGTACTTCCCCTTTTGCACATACTGTACTTATTACATTGCTGCAAACACTTTATTTATTTGCAATACTCTCTAGATGTCATCTACAATTCAGATGATATGACTTCATCTAAATTGTCAATTGACATACTGTACTATGCAGCTACTAAATACTACACTGATATTCTTTTACCACAAACTAGACTTTGGTTTTTTGGGTGATATCTTTGACTATGTATAATGCGTGGATCTGTGTTATATTCTCAACATATTTTATGTCGTTTTTCTAATATTTTGGACATATTGTTCTATGTTTATATTTTCCAAATGTTCCATATACTATACCAGTGGTTCTCAACTGGTCAAGGGCCTCGGGACCCACTTTTTACTTGGTCAATGAATCGCGAACCCAACATTTTGAAGCACTCAAATCTATTCAACAAAAAATCGTGCTGTAATATATACACTTTTGAGCATACAATATTAATACAAGTGAAGTACAGTGCATATATCCCTTATATCCCTTCACAGAACTAAAGTATGCTTTAAAAAAAGGTTTAATGAGATGCTGGAATCAAAGCTGAACTATATAAAAAGGCACACATGCTGAAAACCCCAACCCCAGCAGGGGGTCTGGGGGGAATCTCCCCCAGGAGATTTTTAGAAATACTAACATAAACTATGCATTCTGGTACACTGAGAAGAAAATAAATAAATCTATTACTACCTACCCGACATATTAATGATATTTGATGCCATTGTTTGTTTTTGTCACTTTGTTCTGACATCTTGCTGCTTCCACACAGAGAGAAGAGCAAAGAGGAGAGAGTCTGTGTGAACTTACTTTAAAATTGTGGGTAAGGGTAGATAGCCCCCATTGTTCTGTGACCTGTCAGTCATCAGACCGGGGGTCATATTTCATTATGTGTTCATTTTTATCTGAAGTTGTACCCACGGATGTATAAAGAAGAGTTCTCCCGCTAAGTTATTCTCCGTGGGGGACTTCCGGCACACAATCTTGATTCTGAAAAAACATCAGCAAAGATATTTTATTGAGAAGATGATCACTACGATGACAGAAGTTTTCAAAACCGTTCATGGTCTCCGGTGCTTCCAGTCCAACGCCGACTGCATGCCAGCGTTAGAAAATCGGGCCTTCAAAATTAAAGTTTGACTTTTCCCACCAAAAAAAATTCAACTTTTCTTCTTCACTCACATCCGCGACACACTCCAAAACGGGTCCGCGACCCACCAGTTGAGAACCACTGTACTAATACTATGTGGTTTTGTGTGATATTTCAACAATTATCTACATCATTATTCTTTTCCATGCTTACATTATTTCATTATTTGTGATATTTTAAATATTCTATATCTATTTTCTTACATCCTAATTTATGATATTGAAAAACTGTATAAAGTTGTTTTATTTAAACTCACACTGTTCTTTGTAGCTTGTTCACATCTGTTGTAGCTTCAAACTATGATTTATCGTGCGTTTATAATAATTTCCAACTCTAATTTAATGTCCAATAAATGAAAAAAAGGGCCAGAGATCCAGCAAGAGAAAGCTAACAGCCACAGACTGAGAAATCATCTTTATTTGGAGAGATAAGTTCCTGACAGTAAAAAAGAAAGATCCAAAAACAGGCATATTCTAAAAACAAGTCCGATTGAAGTAAGAAACAGGTCCTTTAAATGCACAGAGGTTACATTTGGGGGGCAGCGTGTGATCTCTGTGGTGTTAAAATGCATCTACGGCAGGAACAGTCTGACCACAGCAGCATCTCCATGTAAAACAGATCTTAGAGTCCATGAGATGAATACAGCGGAAGTAGCATCCATGTCAACTGTTTATACTCAAGTCACTTTATCACCCAGGTGTCAAAGAGCCGCTTGGAGACGTGTATGACATTTCATGTCTTACACACATCATGGTCTTTGTCCCACATTTTAAAAACGGCTTTCCTCGGCCTGAATGTTTTTTCTGCTGCAGGATTGAGTAAACCATGCAGAAAAAGTGCGGCGCAACAATTGAAATCCGCACCAGTCAAAATGTTCCAGCTAGCGTTGGATTCATCACGAAGGCTTCATTTGAGAATAACATTCTAAAAGGATCCACTAGATCTCTAAAAACAAAGAGGTAACAGCAGTAGAAATCACACAAACCGAGGAACTAGAAAAGTCTGAGGTTTTTAGACTGGGGGGGGGGGGTCCTTTATCATACGCTGAGATTCAGACGGTGATCAGAGTGATGAACTCCTCCACCGCTGCAGCAGATTGAAGTTAACTATAAGGGCTGATTTCAAGGTTTCTACATCAACACTGAGCCATATCTGCCTTCCTGTCAGCAGCGTGAACCCGGGAAATGTTGGGTACCCCAAAGTGTTAGCAATGAATAGCACGGAACCCCAGAACATAGAAACTGCCAGATGCTAACTCGCATATGTTGGGCAACTTGCACATTTAGCATCAGTTTCATTCAATTGCATTATAGCCTATGTGGAAAATAGTACAAAAATGGCTCTGCCGATTCGGACATTCCCCGAGTGGTTTTGGGGGTGATTGAGGATACCATTTCTGCCATCTTTGTGCCCCCGATGCGCTGATCTTGACTACCATGAGAAGTGCTGCGACCAGTGCAAATAGAGAGCACAAGAGGAGAACGATAACCTCTACTGGGGACAATTATCTTTCAAATAAATAAGCAACCTGCCCAATCCAAATGATCCAGAGTCCCATAGATCTTCAAAAAACAACCCACATTTAATCAAAATCTACGGAGAGTAAATTGCCATTTTCTGGTTAAAACTGCCTTTGCTGATCATGAAAATGTCCAGAATGGGCAAGCCATTTTCTAACCGATTGTCTGCATGCAACTCATGCTAATTGTGCAAATTGCCCAACATATGCAAGTTCGCAGTTAGTTATCATAAAGACTGTGGGGTACTTAACATTTCCGGGTTCACAATAGGGAGCGGTCAACTAGACACAGCCAACAGTACAGTCTACACAGTGGGAGCTTCACATTTGACCTACAGATGAACAACATGACTTCCTCCTGGCGTCAGAGGAGGAAGTATTCTGAAACACGTGGCCGCTGTAGCAGCGATTCAATGAAGAAGCTGATTTTTGATATTTCACCCAGAAAAATAGCCCCTCTTAGATGTGAGAATCTGTGTGTGAGGATTAATGTTGAGAAATTCACAGGGTTTCCTTGCCCGCCCCCCCCTTCACGAGGCTGGAGCATGAAAGGCATGCTAACTGTTTATTAACCACACCATCAGACCCTCATTCACAGGATGTGTGAAGATGGACGCACCATACACGCAAGGGGGTCCTATAGTTCCCACTGTGTGTCTTACAGTCTGCTACACGTCATACTGCTGGCTGCCCTGGCTGGTGGGGGGAGGTATTGGTGTTGGTGGTGGAGGGGTTGCTTCCTCAGAGGCGGGGCGAGGAGGTGGAGGAGCCGCCGCGTTGGGGTTAGATGCTTCCGGAGCCGCAGGGGGATCAGGGGCTGCTGCTCCGGGGGCGCTGTCTGAGGGGGGGGGGGGCATGCTGCTGCTGTTGCTGTCGTCACTGCTCACAGGAGTGCTGCTCTCCCTGGGGGGCTCAGGGGGAGGCGAGGCTTTATCAGGGGGGGTCAGACGGGGGAGGTGGAGCAGGATGGGGCTCGGAGGAGGGCTCTGCTTCATCTGTGGGTTGGGGGGGGGGTTAAGGTTTGATTTAGATCAGAGTTTGAACACTTTTTAATATTGGGAAACAAACACAGCAGCACACTCTGGATGTCAGATTTCTTTTTTAAGGGTTCAGCAATATCCATACACCCATGAATTTAAAATGTTCAAAAGCGTTAAGTACCTGTCTCCATGGGTGTGGGCTTGTCCTCCTCCTTTGTCCCTGAGGTTGTATTAGCTGTGCTGCTCGCATTATCGCTGCTCTGCTCTGCTGCTTTGTTCCCGGCAGCCTCCTCCTGCTGCGCCTGCTGAGCAGCTTTCTCCGCCTGCTCCGCAGCCTCCCGCTCCCTCTCCTCGCCCGCGCCTGGCCGCTTCCTCAGCAGCAGCCATCTCTGCTGCCAGCTTCTCCATGTCCACCTCCACCTTCTGACTGCACAGCTGGACACACACAGAACAAACCACGGCTTCATAAAAACTCAATCTACAAATCAATCGAGATTGAATGCAAACGTGTTTATTAAATCTTAAACCCTCTTCGTCGTCTTTAATATATCAGAATGCAAGACTTCAATGCTAACAGTAATCATATGTCGTGTTGCAGCGATGACGTATTTTTGAAGGCCGAAGCAGAAGTTGCCCTCCGAAAGGCTCCCGGACTAATAGCAATGGGGTTTGTCTATTGGATTCAGGAATTCCATTATGGAATAACACTTACACTTTGCTCAGCAGCATCATCTCCTCATGTTAACACCACTGATACTAGTTGAAGGTAAAACGCTTATGCTAGGCTATAAAGGAACTACATCATGGTCACAGGAGTTCACGTCATCATCGCTAAGCTAAAGGTGGCAAATGGCGGAATGATGGCGTTCGATCGTCTCATTCAGCCACTTTTAAAAAAGGTGTTTTCCAGTAGGGTATTTACTGATGTAATACATGTAGGCTTCTAATCAAGCTACGGCTTCAGGACCTGCACTACTCCATTTAGTTCAGGGGTAGATCCAGCACGCATCTGTGGTTATACATCGTTTTTGCCCGCCACTCGACCGTATCTCGATAGAAAGTGTGCTGCTGTACCCTCTTGAGTTCAGTGTTGAATGAGTCGGTGGTCTCCAGGAAGCGTCTCTTCTTGTCTTGGTGGCGATCCTCGATCTGCAGAAGTTCTGCCTCCAGCTTCCTCTGAAACACAAAGGAAATCACAGGTGAGTCTCTGAAGTGCATTTGACATTTGTTCACCAACATTCGACTAAAACATAATGCATGATTAGAAGAGGCCTCCCTGAAGCAGAGAGTATGTCTGTTGAACCTACCTGGTGCACCATGAGAGACTGGACCTGCCTCTTCAGGACCTGCATGCGGGCGGTGGTGACCACGGAACGGACGTCGGGGACAACGATCTCACTGAGGATGTCGCTGATGAGCCGGTGGTTCCCTGGGAAGCGAGCGGCTGCCGTGTGCTTCACCGAAAAACCATCATCGTAGTCTAGACAGAGGAAAGGGGAAGCAGGTTAAAGAGGCCCTATTATGCGTTTGAGTTTTTTTTTTTTTTTTTAATTATAGAAGGATCATGCATACAAAAACATTAATCTCAGCAAAGAGAAGAGATGCAATATGCCAGATTATAGCTAATAGCTCATTTCCATCTGTGGTCCTCAGACAGGTTCATAACAATCAATAACATTGCATGATCTCCATCAGTCAAACTATTTTAAAACCTGATTTAAGTACAGCTTAGGTTACGAACATAATACTTAGTACACTTCAAATACACTAAAAATTAAATATCTAAGATATAGTATGACAATACAGTTCAAATAAAAAAAACTCAGATTACAGTGTAATTAATGTTGGATGACTGGTTGCTTAATATCATTTGTTTGCACCATAGGAAAACGAGTTAAAATCAGTTCAGGTTTTAAGTTCAGCTGGAAGAGTGTTCCAGTGCTTGATGGCCGTAAACCAAAATGCTGATGGTCCAAAGGCAGTGCGCCTCAGGGGAGGTTAGATCTGCATTTGATGCAGATCTGGAGTTTCTGCAACTCTGCTCACGGCGAAACTGAAAAAAAGCTCCTCAACGGTGGTGTTGTAGAATTGTGAATGATTCTGAATACCAGTCGAACTCGGGAAAGTAACAAGACTATCAAAACTGAACAGTTTGTATTTGGACAGTATATTGCAATGATGGTGTTTTAATGACTTTCTATCCATCTTCTGTTTCCTGTAGTGTGTTCTATAGGTTTTTATGTCAATGGTCTGCAAAGGCTAAAATCTCTAGAGGGAGTTTCTCTCCCCAAAACTAAAAACTGTGCTTTCTCATTATAAATGTGATTTTAAGCCATTATTGAACAGCTTTATTGGCGGCGTGTGGTTCAGTGGTTTGACTCTCAGCCCCTGCAGTCAACATGGCGATGTGTCCTTTGGCCAGATACTAAACCCAAAATTGCTGCAATTGGCCAACGGTCTGTAAATGTGTTTGAATGTTAGTCTCCTGGGCAGGTGGCACATTCTATGGCACACCCTGTCTCTGTGTGAATGTGTGTGAATGGTTAAATGCTGACTTATTTATGTAAAAGCTATTTGAGGGGTCCAGAAGCTGGATGTAGTACATTTTTACCATGAATAAATGCCTTGCAAACTCACCATCAGGGTCTTCAGCTGGCTGGATGCTCATGTACGGCTCTCCTTTATCCATACGAGTCTGCCTCTGCCGGCTCTCTTCCTCCATCGCGGCCTCAGCCCGGTTCTTCTAGCGTTGACGTAGGCCAGGTACACCGGCGAGTTGTGGTAGGCCTTCAAAGACTCGTTATACTCAATCTGAGGTGGGGAGAGGGAAAGAGTTCAAAAAAACAAGCTGAGCAGGACGATGCCACTTCCTGCCTGGACCGTTGTAGTTTTCTGTTAGAAGATATTTGCACTGTTTATTTTCTTACAGCAATTAAAAGGTTATTCAACTAAATATGTGATCCGTTTTGATTGTTAAAGCTTTTTCTGGTTTGGCTGAGGTCGTCCCCCTTCCATCCAATCGTAAATACCCTGGACTAAATATACACAAACACAAATCCTACGAGAACCTCTGTGGTAATTGGGACACTTCCGGGTTCTCACCTTCTCAGCTTCGTACTCGTTCAGGTAGTCCTGCTTCTCCTCATCGTCAGTCTCTCCACATCCCTCCGATAATCTTTCCAATCTCCCACAGTTCAGGTCTGGGTTGGAGGCCTTCACTTGGTCCCATACCTTTTTGTTTGCATATGAACGCAAGATGCAAACACAAAAAAAACATATGGTCACCGCAGGGCAACTGCACTAAACGCTAAGTTAGGTAACTACAAGATAGTGAACAAAATAAGGAGGAAAAGTGCAAAGGAAAGAGGAAATAAGCTCCCATATTATGGATCTACTGGTAAAGGTTATATCTAGCATTAAATGTAAAGCCCCTTTTGTATGGCTAAAAGGTTGGATGGAATGAAATGTATCTAAAGACAGAATCTCATGTTTTAAGTCAACTGATTTGAGAGCAGATTTTGTCTTTATGCCATTAAATGTTTAAAAACTAGAGAAGCAGCAAAGCAAAATACAGGGGGAAATGAAGCCAGAGGCAGATCATGCTAGCAGAAGGAAATACAGGGAGATGTATTTTCTTTTTCTAATGGTTGACAAACACAGGAGGCTACTTAGAGCCAACAGAGTGGGAGGCACCACTGGGGGTTTGATGATCGGTGGTGGTGGAGGCGTCATGGCTGGCTGTTTCCCCCCCTAACACCCCTGCAACTTTTCAGGGGATGGGAGGACAAGCAGTAAAAGCGACACCGTGGATGGGTGTCTTACCTTCCTGCTTACCTTCCGGCTGTACCGCATGTAAGGCATCAGGGGCTTGTCTGGAGGTTTTGGGGGCTTTGGGACGGTGATCCCAGAGGAGGTCTGTGGAAGGGAAGGAAAAGGGAAAGGGGAAATCAGGGGCAAGAAGGGGGGGGAGTTTGAAAGAGGAGGGAGAGAAGGGAAGTGATAAAAAAAGGGACAAAGGTTTGGAGAGAGAAACAAAAGAAAATACTGTCATTAAACATGATTTCATTCTGAGTTGTGTAGGTAAGCAGGGCATACATGTGGTCAAGGGGTCTTGAAGGTTTTCCTACTGCTGGATAAAATAAATAAATCATATTGTTATAAATATGACCCACAGGTGACAGATTAAAGGGTTGTACAGAGCTTGATTTGGCCGAAACAAAAACATGGATGAAAATGTATTATAAACTGACAAAAGGATTTATTTGATTAGTTCATAAATGTTTAACCGTCCTGGTTGGTGAAGGCTCTTGCTGATTTTTTGCAGAATGTTTTTTATCTTAAGAGTGGAATTTTAACTCTTGAAAAAAAAGAACAAAGACATTTGGAAAGGGAAAAAATAAAACAAACTGTTGCATGTTTTTTTAAGCGATTTAGGTCAAATTAAATAGAAATAATAAATAAATAGAAAGTTAAATCACAATGATTGTATATGTTTCCTCCAGTATTTAAGTAAGTTTGGTGAACCAGACTATCTTACTTAATATTCTGTTTGCATTGAAAAGTCTAAATTAGTCCGAATAATTTGATTATGTTTTAAACTTTTTTTTCCCACAAAAAAACCAACTCAAAAATAACCATGCTTCTGGTCATTTAGCAAAAATAATGTATGCGTTGAATTAAATATACAGCTCTGGAAATCAAGAGACCACTGCAGCATCAGATTCTCGTTTCACAATTTATAGGTATGTGTTTGGGTAAAATGTACATGTTTCATTTTATTCGATAAAGTACTGACAAACATTTCTCTGTGTTGGAATTCAACAGACACTGGAATGGAATGGCTGCCATACTTGTAGAGATTGTGAGTAAAGAAACATTTGGAGTGGTCTCTTCATTTTCTCCAGAGCTGTAGCTCAAAGATTGCATTTAGCAACCTAACAATAATACTAAACAATGGAGGCATAGAAATGCTATTTCCCATCTGTTGTAACCCTCCCTCCTGGCGCTTTCTTTAAAGAAGCCTATTCTACTCATTCTCGGGTTCATAGTTGTAATTGGTACCTCTACTGGGTACCAATTACTTTCATTTTCAAAAAGCTCTTCCTCATACTGCCTGTGCTCTAGCACCTCTTTTCACCCTCTGTCTGAAACCATAGCCCAGTCTGCTCCGATTGGTTGGTTGGCTGGCTGGCTCTGTTGTAATTGGTCAACCACTTAGAGATGTCTTGCCCCTTAGCCTATCACGTACAATGTGTTGGAACGCTAGCTAATTAAAGGGCAAGTGTAACGTAGTGATGACACTAAAGGCGCTTTCACACCGGAGTACTTTTCCCTTTTAGTTCCGATAGTTCCTGGGATTTTGCGTTCACACCAAAAAGAGAACTTAGTTCATGAGAACTTTTCCCTCCTTTTTAGTCCCTGCTAGAGAGCAGGTACTTTCCTGGGGAGAAAAGTTCCAATTTCTGATGGGCTGCGCGAATTGCAAACCACGCCCCGTAAAACTCTGAAAAGTTTTGTGAAGCCGCCATTGTATTTGCTGGCATTAGCATTATTAGCATTAGCCCAGCGCACAAACGCAGAGAGACTAACTTATGGCAACACAAAAAAAAAAACATGGGAGCGGTGGAGATGAGGAAGTGTCGGCGCTTCTGACAATTTACGCAGCGTCCACACGGCGGCGTGCGTTGAAGCTTGCCAGCGGGCTTGTCTGAAACTCGACCAACAACCAATCACATGAATCTCCCGCCCCGGACACACAAGCACGCGGTTTGATTGGCTAGAGCTTGTACTGGCATATGATTTGATTGGCTGACGCTTCCGCCGAAGCTTCAAAAGTTGAACATTGCTCAACTTTTGAAGCGAGCAACGCTCCCACAATGCAGTTCGGCAAAGCATGACGTCACCCCATTCAAAGTGAATGGACAGAAGCGTTGAAGCTTCAACACACGCCGCCGTGGACAGTTACTCGGAAGGCTTCAGTAGAAGCTGCTGGGAGTCCCAGCAGCTTCTACTGAAGCCAGTCCCCAACTCGGGGACTTCCGGCCGTGGACTTCGGGCGGCAGTATACGCCGTGAAGTTGTTTGCGGCCTGCCAGTAAACCCAAAGCAGAAGAAGAAGAAGTGACGTCAGCGGCTTCATTTGCGTAATCTTCCCTCAGGGAACTTATTCCGGTGTGAACGCGATCTGCTCTTTAGTTCCATGGGGGAACTAAGTGCTTGGAACTAAGTACGGCAAAGTACTTGGTGTGAAAGCGGCTTATGATACAGAAGTAAACAAAGGAGTCTATGGAGGCGTTGCAGTCAGGGGGATGTTGGGATTTTTTTTTTGTGCCATTTACTTGCACAAAAACCGTATTTAACATACTAAAGGAAAACAGCAGAATAGGGCCCCTTTAAATACCCGTTTCCTTATTAAAAACAATTTCCCCCTCTATGCATAAGCCCCACCTTCTAAAACTATTAAGAATGCTTCCTTTCCCCATGGCTGTGCCCATATATCTAGCCCAAGACTCTTTCTATCTACCCTCCCTCCAATCCTGCACCCAACCCCTTTTCTGATTATTTTCTCCAAATCCATCCGTCAGTTCATTACCCTGCTGGAGCCTCCGGAGCTCCCTCCCAGCCGGAGGTTGTTGTAGGCCAGATGGCTGTAAGGGTTGTATCCCACAAACCCTGGGGCGGTAGGCAATTGCTGATGGAAGACAAATGAGACAAAACACGAATGAGAAATGGTTCACAAACAAGAGGAGGAGGAGAGGGATAAACACAAATAAGTGAAAACGGGAAAAACATGAAAATATAAATGTATTGTTTTGCTAATTTTTCTATGTCAGGCAACATGGGAATGTTGCATGTACCAAGCAACAAGCTCCCATAGCCCCCACGAGTTTCATTATATAAACCATGTAACTGAGACATTGAATTTAAACAGTGCTGTGCCTCTTACTCAATGCAAGGAAATTAAAGCATCACAACAACCATGATGACTCTAAAATTGTACACATGTACTCATCCTAAATATCTCAAATTTGATTTTATTCGGAATACCCCATGAGGCACAATAACCTCTTCTTCAAAAGCCTTTTTAAAAAAAAAAATGGTAGTAGTAGAGAGGAAAAACAGGAGTGAGTGTGAAGATGGAGAGCAGAACTGCTTGGTGGACACCTCTTTGTGTTCAGACAGAGAAAGAAAGAAAAAAAGCAGCTTGTAAAGGAAATTGTGGATAGAGAAGGTGTACAGCGGCAAGAAAGAAAAAAAGAAAACAAGATAATGTGTGTGGCTAACATGGCCCTTTGGCCACTGAACGTTAAAAGCTGAGAGGGGGACACTTACTGTGGTGGGGGCAGGGGGAGGGGGAGGGGCGTAGGATGGTCGCTCTGTGTGTGAAAGAAAAAATAAATGTCAAAACTTGGTGTGTATCAAGCATTTAAAAAGGCTGTTGTCAATATATGCATACACTTTTTGTATTCATTTTTTATTATTTTGAAAGCCAAATAAGCTGGATATCTTAAAGCATATACATTTTGATATTAATTAAACAATATCAGTTTTTAAATCTGCATAACATAGCTCTCCACTTTAAAGTCTGATACATTGCACATATTTTTAATGTAGGTATTTTTATTTGTATCACTTCATTTCTTTATGTAATATAATTGTTTTTTTAATGTACTATTCTTCTCCTTCTCTTACAACCTGATTCATCCTACTGTTTTAATGCGCCATCAACACCAAAGCAAATTGCTATTTTAAACCTACAGCAATACAAGTTATTGTAGGATACATCCCTTTAAATGAAACCATCAGGGGTGGAAACGGCACTCAGGTCCTTTACTTGAGTAAAAGTAGAAATACTATGGTCTTAAAATACTCCGTTAAAAGTAGAAGACTTTAGTGCGAAATGTTACTTAAGTAGAAGTAAGTAATATCAGCTATGTATACTTACAGTTTCAAAAGTCCTCAATATGAATAATGGCACCTTTCACAATATACACTATATCATCCCGTTTTAAATCACTAACAAAAACATATGGGACATTTACATTTTGTAGTTTGACAATGTGGAGCTAATTTTATATACTTAAAATAAAATACTGGTTTGTAATTGTGTATATTGGTAGTGCAGTACTGCATCATCATAGAAGCAAATCACATGTTTCAATTTGTAAAAAGTTAATAATGTGAGTGTTAAATGAATGTAGTGGAGTTAAAGTATAAACGTGTAGGGGTAGAAGTATAAAGAAGGATACAATGGAACTACTCAAGTACTATTTTGACATACTTGTACCTTACTTGAGTAATTGTTACTTTCCAACACTGGAAACCATTGATAGCAGCCTTTCTGTGTTTTTTTTGGTATAATTGTGTTGGTTATTTACAAACAATAACATAACAGCTCTCATAATATCAACAACAATGAACTTAACATTAGTTTGTTCTTTATAATGTGCGTTTACTTACTTGACATGGTGGCTGCAGACGGGGCTAAGTAGAGGAGGCTATTTCATATGTGTTAACCTGGAGAAGGAAACAAAGTAAAAGGGAAACTACCCACATTATTAGATGCAATATACACGGGAAAATACCCACATTATTAGATGCACTATACACGGGAAAATACCCACACTATTAGATGCACTATACACATAGACTATACACTCTTCGCCGCGACTCGTTTGACACATTAAGAATCAAGAAAAACATCGGCAAACGTATTCAACGTAACGATGATAACAATGAATGATTACAATGGCTGACGGGACAACCAGAGATAGCTTAACCGGCTCGGCCTATTAGCCAAACCTGCTAACACAAAGAGAACATTTGCCCCAATAGATTTCAAAACAATTCAGTACGCCAGAAAAGGACACAATACACACAAAACAGGCGTTTATGCACAGGCTCTTTCACTGAAAAAGTGTGCAGCGCTTGAAAGATATTTGAATTAGCCCTGCTAGGCTAGGCTAATGAACACTACACGCTAATGTTACCGCTAACGTACATAGGAGTAAATAAGCTACCATTATTAGCTTATTAACGAATGGTAAATAAACATATTTGAATATGTTGCACACCTTTGTCACAGTTTTACAAAAGTGTTGTATTTTAAATGTATTATGCTGAAAACAAACGTAAACATACTCACTCAGTCGTTCTTTGTTCCCTCCGTCGGCCAGCTCGTCCCGCCCTCCACACACACACACACGGGAAGGGCTAACTCTGTTCTTGCAGGCGGAAAAAGGACGTTTTCAGAATAAAGCGTAGTTACTTCAGTTTCAAACCATACAGATTATGCATATGTTTTATTGATAAAATAATACTAGGTTACTTAATCAGCTTTGTTGGTGCGGAACTGGGTCGTGTGTGTGAATCGTGTGAATAGATAAATGTTTGCGTCTCTCAACACCCATATGAAACATAACTGTACACAGATTTTCTTTTTCTTTATGGATATTTTACGAATCACTCCCCTTTTAAACTGTGTTCTTGTTTTACTGTCATATAGTATTTCGTAACTGTTTTTCATTTATTCTCATAAATGGTGACCAAACGGTTTGAGACCCACTGAGATAAGATAACTAGACTAAAGTTAACTATCTAAACACACATGTTTCAAGTGCTGTGGGGATGACACCAGGGCCGGTTCTGACCAATTTGCTGCCCTAGGCAAGAGAAACGTATTGACATGGTGGACAGCTTAAAAAAAGGCTTCAAATGTATTTAGTATTGTATGAACATTAGGGGTGGGCGGATCGATCCCAAAATATCGATACCTCCGATATTACGTTACGTTTCAAAATATCGATACTAGAGCCAATAGGATCGATACTGTTATACTTTTTTCTCGTCTCCTCTACTCGTCAATTTCTTCAAAAAACTATGTGCAGACGAACACAAGTAGCCTATATGCCCTTTTCTTCTCTCTCCACTGCTGTCCTCTTCTCCTCGAGGCTCCCTGCCTGAACGCCGATTATCAAGCTGACTGACCGCAGCCAACAGGGCAGGACAGCAGCAGCCAGCGACTCGCGAGTGCAACACACACACGCGCATGATGGCTGAGAGAAAGAGCAGCGTTGTGTGGAGCAATTTCAAACTGGCCATTAAAACTTAGCGAACTGTGATGTGTGCAAGAAGACAGTTCGCTACTTTGGCCACTTTGTATTGTTATTTTTCATGTTTGCACTTTAAATTTGCAAAAGTAAAACGTGTATTTGTCTATAAAAACTGTCCTGTCTTTATTCATGAAAATGAATTCAGATTTAGTCT